TTCAGAAGCAGTTTTTCCTCCCATTACTGTTGTCAATGAGATCGTATCTACTATCAGCTTTGATGATAAACAATACATTAAGGTTTAGCTATTTCAAGTCTTCTAGTAACAAATAGGCTCTAAAAAGTCGACTTTTTTGTATAGCTCAGTTGAGCCCTTTAACATACAAAATTCTTATTTTTATGGTTTTCTAAAAAACCAGCTGTAAAAAGCCATGAGACATGCATGCCCCCTGTGTTCTTAAAGGAAACTCAGAGAATATATATGCCCAGGATTGATTCAGGATCTGTATTATAAACATATCACCCCCCCTGCTTCCTACAGATGAGCCCTATAAGTCAAGCACCTAGAGTATGTGGACTTTGATACAGTTATTCTAAATTCAGAGGCCTTTTTCTGCTGTGTATGCCAAATCTCAACCATCCATATAAACAAGGTGTTATTATACATAAACTAACTTTCCATCTATAACAGCCTTTTCAAACATCTCTCCATCTAGCACCTTGGCCCCATTCCAAAACATGCTGTTTCACCAGTGTGTTAGTTCTATGAACCTGCATTTTAAACAAGCACCCAGGTGCTCTACTTATCCAAAAATTCCCCTATCTAACGAAGTCTTTAGGATCGCTATGAGTTGGAATCCACTCGACAGCAGTAGGTAACCAAGTCTTTGTACATGACACCACCATCCCCTCCCCTAAAAAAGCTCTTGTTCCTTTCCATCTAGAAGACACAGGATGGAAAATGGAGCTGAAAGAGAAAAAAAAGCCCCTTCTTCCAGAAAGCCACTTATTATTATTCACCCATAGACTCATACTCATTATATAGTTTTAAATGACATAATTCAGAAGAGATCACATGTCCACTGAAGACATTTCATTATCTTTAGCTTAAAAACCCCTAAATCAAAATATTCATTACCTCTGAATCAAAATAAGTATTCTTTAAAAGGGAAGCTTAATATTCATGTTGTGGCATCAAATTAATTTAATACAATACTATTTGCTTAATAGAATGGAAGCAGCCACGGGGTTTAAAAAGCAATAAATGATAAACTGGAGAAGTTTCCTAAGTGTCGTTTCATTAGCTGATGAATTCCCAGAACAAAGAGTTAGGCAGGAAAAACTGTAGTAGTACACCATCATCCCTTACCACAGATGAGCTACTGAGACATTCTGTTCTTTACCCAGTCTGTTCTAAAATATTCTTTAAAACACAGAAAGTTATTTGCTCTACTATTCAAGATCACAGACCATTCTTTCAACTGGCAATCATCAATTGTCATCTGTTAGAAGCTTGACTAACTTCCTCTCATTAAAAACATAATGGAACACAAGGTATATAGCAAATATTCAGTCTCCAGTACTAGTGAACTGAAACTATGTTTTGTATCCATTTCTTTCAACTATCCTAAACTCTGGGTTGCGTTACTAATAACAAGAGAGTAATCAGGATGCAAACAAACCAGAAAGAAGGATCAATTGGGCCAGTACTTCCTGAGCACTCTGAGTGTGAGACTGCTATAGGCACAAAGATCTACAGACATTAAGATTCAAGGCCTACCACCTCAAGGTGGCAGAAGGGAGTTAATGAAATGTAAAATAACTTTTATTAGTACACAGTTATAAAACATCTCAGCCGGAGATCAAACACACATATCTAATACAAGGCAAAGTTTATAAATGCCTTTGGCAGTAAAACAGTAGTATTTTAATAGGGGCAAGATCATATGCTGTGTGAGAAAAATCACCCTTCGAAGATAATTTCTTTCTGCAACTGAGTTTAAGAATTCTAAATTACCACCAGTAGCCCTTACCTGGAGTCTTTTGATACGCAAATAATTCAACTGCAGGTCAACCATTAGCATTAGTTGTTTTTTATTTAGGAAAGCCAAAAAAGGCCTTACCACTTTTAAATAGATATGATAACAATTTTAAGAAAAAACCGAGCTATGCCCATATCCTCTTTGAAATAAGGTATGAGGTATAAATAGAACAAAATCTTCTCCCTTTTTGGTATATGTTGCAACCAAATACTATTCCCTTAGGAATTTGAATACTTTTATTATTTTTTCGGAGATCAATTTTTCCCACCTTATAAGGGTATTTTTAAAATATTTCATTCTCAGGTAAGATATCATCATAAAAGGGCTCTGCTGTGATTTTTGTTATCTCTCCCCATAAACGTAAAGTTTGACAAAACACTGTAATCAATATACAATAAAAACGTCAGTTTTTACTATTTTGTCCAGTTACTTTCTCCAATAAAATTTTATTTTTGTCTTTCCGTTCCTACATTATTATTTTTATCACTATTCTTATTTGCACCAACTTACTTCACTTTTCCTCTTTCATTAACCTCATTTTTTTCGAGGTTGAAGTTCTCTCGAATTCTACTCAAAATAGAACTGCAGACGTTAAAATCTTGCTACTTTTCTCTAATCCCATCCTATTTCACCAATAATGCCTGCAGTTACCCTCTTTTCACCACTAGATGGGTGTCCTGGACGAATTTAAACTAAACCAGATTTTTAACACAGAAAACCATCCTAAATTCTATAACTCATTTTTTCTGATGGAGAGGAGTACAAAAGGTTTACCATTAAAATAAAAATCACTTAAAACATCAACCTACAAATCTAACAGCTAATATTTACACTTTACCAACAGACATCAGAAACTATCTTCTAATTTGTAATCATCCTTAAACATTAACCAAGATAGAAGTTGAACTTTAAAACACACTACCTGTAAATAAAATGTTGTACATCACATGTATGTATGTAATCATAATCCTTATCAACAAATGGAATTCCTTAATTGTTGTAACACAGATGCAATCCTGAAAAGCTGGATTTAAAAATAATTTACCAAGTTTTGAAGTGTCGTCTTCAAAAGAATGTGGTAATTTTAAGAAATGCAGATCAATTACCCCACCTCTAAACCTAGTTTTTCAGTTTGCCATGTTGACAACTAACCATGGTGATGATGGCTACAAGTTGTGTTTGTCTGAAAATGTCCAAAATAAAGTTATACAGGGGAGAATGATCCTACCTTTGGTTCTAACACTTTAAAAGGGGGGGGGGGGCGCTTAAATAGAAAAGCTACTGTATGCCACTCAGTTGCAGATATCGTACCACATCCATAATTGGTATGGACTGATATGGATCACTCCATATCCATAATTCAGTCTTCACAATATTCCTGAAGCAATGCTTCCCACCCAGCCCTTCAGATCAGTCTCTGTCCTAGAGCCCAGAAATACCTCCCCAATCTAACACTCTGAAATCCAGAAGGAAAGAGATTTTAAAACACTGATGTTTGGAAGAGGCTGTCAGTGCTCACCAATTCCCAACTTTCTCATCTGCTACAATACCACACTAAACCTAGCTAGGCATTTTTAAAAAACCAACTTCTCAACACCTTTTGTTCTCCTCCTACTTCCTGTCAAGTCATCCACACCAACAAGCTACTACACCAAATTTCATACTCTGCGTAATCCAGAAATTTCCACAGTTCATTAAATAAAATGCATGTATTAAAGAGGGCTCATCTTATTACAGACCACAGCAAGAAACATAAAAAGACAGTTCCCAAACATTAAATCTCTCCGTAGTGAAAGCAAGAATATAGTCTGGATTAAACTTTCCAGAAAGAACAAGAGAGGGTGAAGTGGAGTGGGATAGTGAAAGATATACAGGTCAATTAAGACACCATTAAATCATTTATGATATCTATAATTATTCGAAAAATTGTAATTAAGCCGGCAAAATTAGCATCAAATAAGTTCAAATGGTTAGGGTTTTGTTCAACTTTGCTTTTTGTGATCAATTAATCTAACTTTCCTACTAAATCTATTAGTTCCCGTTTAAGAGAGTCTAGCCATAAAAACGTACTAAAAATCCACAATTCAAATAAAAATGTTAAAATACAAACAGCGTCGCTTAGCCTGTTCTTCCCAAATCTGCTGCAACCCTCAGCCGGGCTCTTGGGTGGTGACATGAACCTTCTGTAATAGTCATTTCCTTTCCTATCGTTTGTGAGAAACTCAGTAACGAAATCTGTATTTGGAAGTAATGACTACCGAACTATCTTTTTAAAACGAGAGAAAAAAACTACCCCTAATAAGCCTTTTTCGAGACAACGTAAGGTTTGCAATTTACACTTTTTGTCGCAACACGGTTTCTTTCCTTACTTGGGCAAAAGTTGATATCCTTATATAAACCATGGAACAGGTTTTTTGAAATGAAAGAAAGCAAACAATTTAAAAAATTGAGTTTAAATTCAGTTTGCTAATCAACAAACTTCAGTAAAATCCCTCAGAAGTTCCGGAGAGGGGGTTTTCGCGTTCCCACCATCTGCTTCCTGTTCTCAGTACTTGGTACCACTGTCTACCACGAAATTTCTACTCTTTTTACAAACTAATTTTAGTTTCTAGTTTTAGGGTCAGTTATGCAGGGGCTTAAAAACAACAGGCCTCTAACTCTCCAAGCCCCTAGCCACTGCTAAGAAAGAAAAAAGGGAGAGAATAGGGTCGAGAAGGAGAACGTCACCGCGCCACCAGGTATAAGGGAGAAAAGCCTGCGACAGGATCCAGGCCCTCGCGGCCGTCGCCCGGCTGTCCCTCCGCACAGGCCCCACCCCCAACCGCCAATCCCGAAGAAGAAGTGAGCCCTGCTAGGAGCAAGGACACCGGAGAGGCCCGCGGCGTCCGCGGAGCGGAGAGGGAGGAGGAGCGGGGGCCTGGGCCTCCGCGCCGGCCGACCCTGGGGCGGACTCCACAGCCTAGACCTTAGAGCCGAGCGACTAGCACCAGGCCAGGCCTTTAATCCCTTCCCTCAACCACCCCCCACTTCCCAAGTCCGGACGGCGCGGCGACACCCGGGTCATCCACCATACACTGTTGCTAAGGCGCCGGGTCAAATCCACCACGAGCGCGGACTCGGAAGCAGTGCCCGCGTCCCCAAACCTTCCTTGTAGCCTGGGAAGTCGTTCCCTTACCCGAGAAGGTTGCCAGCCAGCGACAGGGAGGAGCAGAGGCTGGTCAGTGGAGCCCGTGGTCTCCTTTCAGGTACCGCACAGCTGATACTGGTGGAGGCGGCGGCGGCGATTTCTCGCGCTTTCCTTTCTCTCCCTTTCTCCAACAACAAACAGGAAATACGTCACGCGTCGGGTGACGCTTGACTTCCGCCCAGCCATTAATCCGCGGAGGCGTCCATCTGCTGACGCGGTCTCGGGGTTAGAGCTCGTCCTCAGCTCCGCCCCCACCTCGCCGCCTTCCCGAAGATTCTCCGCGCTCTCCGGCGGGCGCCACCTGCCGGCCTGGGAGTCTGGCAGGAGTTTGCACGAGATGCAGTGCGGCAGGCTTGTGGCGCACACCGCCAGGTTTTGAGTAGGTGGTTCGTCACCAATCTGGTCGGTTTTGAAAGGCACCTCTGAGGAGGTTAAGAGGACCTACCGCCCCGAGCCCTTCCCCTCCCTCGCAGAGGCATCGGCGACCGTTAAGGGGGAAGGTAAAGCTAAGAAGAACGTTGGAAGGCGGTTCGCCCCCGCTCCGGCCGGCGAGGACGCGGGGAGCCCGCCGCCCCCGGTTAAGAGAGCGCGCCGGGTTAGGCCGCTGTGCTGATCCCTGCACGTCAGCAGTAGAACATTAGTGGTGACAGCCGCTGGGCTAACCACTAGCGCGAATGCCACCAGGCATCAGAGACGTCACCCGCCGGGGGATTATAATCTAACCGACGAGAGGAACATAATTAGAAAGGGAGGAAAAAAGAAAAATAATTTGAGATAAATAGCACTGAACGCCCTTAGAACCGTAATTGAAGAGGTCTTTCTCCCCAGATGTGTGAAGGGAAAAGGAAGCATGGGGAAAGCACCCAGCTCCGATGTTGGAGGGGAAGAAACAAAGGATCCTCCACGCCGGTTTTCCCCGGGGAGGCTTGCATCTTCTCCATCTCAACTTCCTGGGTGCTTTTTTTCAAACGAAGATTCCTGGAGTCCTCACCCCAGAACTACTGAATCAGATCCCAGGAAGTGAAAAGCCTGGGAATCTGTATTTTAAATAGACCTTGAGGCACCAGTGTAAGAATGGAACGTAGTAGTAGTAAATAAGGAGCCTATTCACTTAACAGTAAAGACAGACGTTGTTTAGTTGCCCTGCTCCTTCACCGGTGGCCTTCATTTTAGACTGTGCAGACACTGTTAGCCTGCCTCCTTTTCTGTTACCCCACCTGGAGCGGAAGTAACTTGCATAATCCTAAAACAAGACAAAAACGCCTGGTGTTGTCATATGCTAGAAGTCCCAAGTTGGGGCGGGGGGGCGCGGAATCAAGCCAAAGACGCGCGAAAAGGATGAATGATTAGGCACAGCCAAGCCACCATCAACTTGCCGAGAACTCCGTTAATTACTATTTAAATACCTTATGATCATTGCCTAGCTCAGTGATTCGCCGAGAGAAAACAACTAGAGATTGCTCAAATCAACAAATGATTGAAGGAAAAGAAAGCAAGCTGTGGCCCAAAATGTAGATGAGCAGTTTTTAAATTAGAGTTTCCTTAATACTTGGTGTATTTTGATAGCTAGACATGTATGTCTGCCTCACCATTTCTAAGGCTTCACTGTATTATCAAAGATTCTGATTATAAGACGTGAAAACAAATGTGAAAAATTCTACTTTTCTACTTCAAAAGATTGTTTTATTCATTTTTTGTTTTACTTAAACATTGTATTATATACCTTATACCCGATCATTTTCAGCAGATGACCAATTCGCAAAAGGAAAAACAAAATTTTTAAGTCGTTTCTTTTTTTTAATAGTTTATATAAATGCCTTGTCTAAAGAAAGGAATAAAGCAATATTTGGTTTTAGTATAGACATCACCTAATAAAACCTAAGATAATCTCAGCAGACACTAGAATTTCATTCAAATATATGCACAGTTTGGCATTGTCACATGTAACCGTATCTGCCACAACAGGTTGACAGAGTTTTATTTCCCTTGAAGTGTTAATAGTGCTATCATCTGACATTTCACATTTAAATAAGTCCCTATGGCAAGTGTGAGCTAATCTAGAAATGCAGATAGCACAAGACATGAATTTTAGTGGCAGGCTAGCTGCAAATAACATTTTCTCCCCCCTCCAAAATAAAATATTTATCAAAACATCTGTTAATGTGGCGAAGTGTATTATGAAAAAAGCCAACTAATACAAAACAAAGTCCCAGTCCTGATGAAATCCACGTGGTAGTTAGGAAAAACAGGCATAAACACCTTGAAAATTAAGTAACATGGCAATATTTAAGAAGCTCTTCATGAAACCAGACCAGACCCCTTGCCGTTGAGTCGATTCAGACTCAGAGTGACCCTATTGGGCAGAGTAGAACTGCCCATAGGGTTTCCAAGGAGCAGCTGCTGGATTCCAATTGCCAACCTTTTACTTAGCAGTCTTAACCACTGCGCCACCAGGGCTTCATGAAACACATCTTTCAAAAAAGCTAAAATATTTATTCTCAAATTAATGTGAGCCGAGATGGTGGTGGTACAATTCAGAAGAAGAGCACTTGGCAATGGGCAGTCCTAGAACAGGAATGATTTAAATTGGGGTGAAAAGCTTTGGAGATGGAGGAGGCAAAGTTCAAAAGCACAAAACAGGCCTAGGGCGAGTGAGCCTGCCAGTTTGACTCCAGCAAAGGGTAGTAGTCCCTGGGTCCCACAAACGATTAAGCACTAGGCTACTAACTGAAAGGTTGATTGTTCAGACCCACCCAGAAGTGCCTTGGAAGAAAGTCCTGGTGATCTATTTCCCAAAAATCAGCCATTGGAAACCCCATGGAGTACGATTTTACTCTGACACACATGGGGCCGCCATTAGTTGGAATCAGCTCAATGGAAACTGGTAAACCAGGTTTAATGGGAGATAGAAAGGTATTTGGGCCTGTGTTGAGGCTAAGGACTGTAAACTTTACCTCATAGGCAATGTAAAGCTGTTGAAGATTTCTGAGCAAGAGTATGAATGATCAAAGCCAAACAATGACAAATCTGTTGTTTGCAGGGTGTGTGGAAGAGTAGAGAGGCCAGTCATTCTCTTATGATTTTGTTTCCTCATCTGTAAAATGGGGATAATAGGCTTGATGTGAAGATTAATTGTGCTTAGCTCAATGCCTACCACATAGAAATGCTCAGTAAACAATAGCTATTCTGTGTCACAGGCTTCTTTGAAAAACTAATAGAAGGTATAGACCTCTTTCCAGAAAATGTGCAAGTACTATGAGGGAAGTTGTAGACAGCCCCTTCCCCCAAGCCCATCCACAAGTCCAGGGTCCTCAGGTGAAGATCCTGAATGACAGTTTGGCATTAATCCAACAATAACACTTGTAGAAATTTACCCTAAGGAAATAAATGCAGGAGTGGAGGAGGGGGGAAACACAAGATTGTTGATCACAACTTTGCAAATAATCAGTACCTCCTTACCATGAAATAATATGCAGCGCTTAAAAATAATAATGTAGTGGACATCAAACATATCCAAGATACACTATTGAGAGAAATAACGTGTTAAAAATAATCAAAACTCAACAAAATGTGAACGTACGATTTATTCTGAGCAGTTATTCTATATGCGTATAAGTAGATAATTTTGATTCCAGAAAAAGCAAATGGATCCAAGAAGCTAGGAACAATGAGGCTTATAAAGAGGAGGGAGAAATACAGAAGATCAATCATTGGCTAATCTTAATGTGATTGATTGAACCCTGTCTTCCCCTCTTTACTGAGAACAACTGATGCCAGGTTACCTCTGGCCTGGCTGATTAATAATATGGCCCTCCACCTACCTGCAGCCTAAGACTTTTTGAGATTTAAATTAAGAGGTAATGGTTTGACAACTATCCTTTTCTAGCAGGATAAGACAAATTTACATTGCTGTGGAGCAGTTTCTGGCAGGCTTTTGCAGTTTGGATCAGGCTTTTTAAGGTTAATATTTGGTTTTGTGGATAAGAAAAACCTTAAAATCGAAGTAAGATGTCTTGTTATTAATTTTCCTATTCAACAAAATAAAGTTGCGGGATCCCATAAGCCCATTGCCACTGGGTCGATTCCAGCTCATAGAGACCCTATAGGGTTTCCAAGGCTGTAAAATCTTTACAGAAGCAGACTGTCACATCTTTCTCCCACAGAGCGGCTGGTGGGTTCGAATCGCAGACCTTCAGGTTAGCAGCCAAGCGCTTAACCACTGTGAAACCAAGGGAAACATCTTTTCATTTATCCATTTATTGAACATTTGTTAAACACCTACTGTACACCAGCACAGAGTCCTTGGGTGGTGCAAATAGTTAACGTGCTCAGCTGCTAACTGAAAGGTTGGCGGTTTCAGTTTACACAGAAGTGCCTTGGATGAAAGGCCTGGTAATTTACTTCTGAAAAATCAGCCACTGAAATCCCTCTGGAGCAGTTCTAGTCTGACACACATGCGTTCACCATGAGTTGGTGTGGATTCAATGGCAACTGGTGGTGGTATACCAGCACAATGCTGGGCTCTCACTATAAGCCAAAGAAGACATGCCTCCTTCCATTGAGGCACTTAGAGTCTGGTGAGGAAGACAGACCTGTAAATCAGTACTTCTAGTGCTACGTGGTAAATGCTGTGAGGATTGCATGCTCCAGGGACAAAACCAAACCAAACCCTTTGCTGTCAAGTTGATCCCAACTCACAGCAACCCTACAGGACAGAGTAGAACTGCCCCTAGGATATCTGAGGAGCAGCTGGTAGGTTTGAACTGCCGACCTTTTTGGTTAGCAGCTGAGCTCTTAACCACTGCTGAGCTCTTAACCACTCAGGGCTCCCTCCAAGCACAAAGGAGTGGCAAATCAGGATCACATTGGGGATGGGAAGAGAGACAGAGTGGGCAGGGATCAAGGAAAGCTTTCCAGAAGGGGTCAATACTGAGTGAGTTTTGAAATAAGTAGGAGTTAATAGCTGAAAGAGTGGGTGGATACAGAGAATTCCAGACAGAGGAATCATTTCCAAACAAGAAGAAAAAAAAGATAAAGGTGCTATTTTTAAAACTTTAGCTGTTTCCATATGCTAGGGGTGATGGCAGGATTCTTATTTCAGATGGAAAATTCCTTTTTTTGGTTATGCAAAGGTAAAGTCATCAACAGAATCTGAAGGAAAGATTGAGACTAAAAAACTAAATAATAAGGTAAAAAACTGTCTTCTTTGTGGGAGGAGGAGTATCTTTGTAAAAGTTATTACAATTTTAACTAATTTTGGCCTTACCTGCTTCTTGGAAGGCAGAA